AAATCAAACTTAAACAAGGAGTAAAAGTCTCAGAGACTCTCAATGTGTTCAGGAATTTTACTAGTGTAGCTATGCAGGGGCAAAAAAAAAAAAATACCCAATTCCTTGTCCTCCATGAGGAAACAGTGAGTATTGTTCTGTGTTTATCAATAGTCTTCAGTTTGAAATTACATTTTAGTTGTCTTTTTCTAAAATAATAGAGCCAAATAATTCTAAATAAATCTTGGTAGAAAACATGATGTTAATATTCTTTTTCCATTATGCACAAATACTAATAAATATTATTTAAGGACAGAAGCAAGGTAGCTGCTTAATAGCATCATTTTTTTATGTTCTATGATTCCAAATTATTGTTTTAATGTATGATGCCTTTTCTCATATTACCGTCAGTATTCTTCATGATAATTTTTGACTTCAATTTGTCATTTCCACARATCTGCATTTTGTGAGGTTGTATTTATTTGTGTATTTGGTGTAAAATTCCCAATCTATTGAGTTGTCCCTTAAAATTTAATCTTTATGTGTCTTACTGCATCTTTACCAGGTACAGCCAAGCGWAATTCAACTCTCTCCACTTTAAACTAAAAGCTATGATGAGGTGAATTAGACCACGAGTTTTAGAACAACTTGCAAAGAGACCTTTGAGAATGTGGTTAACCTTGAATTATTGCAATGATATTTTTGGAGTCTGTAAATGGCCTCAAGTAATTACTGCACTGAGTCCACCAGTGTACCTTAAGGACTAATGTGCATAAGACRTCACYTGAGGCCCTGAAATATTTCTCTGASTGTCTAGAGAATCTCCCAGGAGAGCTCGACCCCATCTCTCTATTTGGCCCATGTGGAATGTTGGAGGGGGAGTTCAGCAGCTGTGGTCTCTGTTCCTCTTAACAACGCTATAGAAGCAGAATGCTTCACTGCTTTTCTAGCTCTGTCATACTGCTCAGATGAAATTTCAGATTTTCATCTGAGACTTTTATTCATCTGAGACTTATATGTGGTTASTTGATTAATGTGCCCCTGGTTCTAGCTGGTAGAATTGCTTTGGAGAGGGCCATTTTCCTGAAATCCCTCTTGGGTAAATTGTTCAAGYACTGGACAAGGTGATAAGAGGAGGATAATCCAAGCAGAGGTGTCAGTTTCCATATTCCCAGTCTCTGYTGAATCTTTCCAGTTGGACTATGCCCTCATGCTAGCAGCATTTGATATATCCATGTGTAATCTGAACTATGCCTTTTCTGTCCCTCTTTCCTTACTTCCAAATCTGAGACCATTCAGAGCATGATCATTGTTCTGCTYACACTGGAGTTTGCTCTCAATGCTCTCGAGAAGCACTGGGCAGTTTTCAGTTCCTCCCCGTCAGACATGGTAGTCAGAGCAGTGCAGCACCCGCTGTTTGTGAGAGCAGCCAGCAGGCTCTGCCACATCTCTATTAGAGCCAGAACTCCAAGGAGTCATCCATTCTGGTGACAGCCCTCTGATTCTCTCATGGAGGGATTATTTACTGCTGTAAATATTCTCTGGTTAAACTACATATCCTTTTGTTCCCCTTGACATTCTGAGCCTTTCATGCTATTATCCAGTGGCTGAATAGACAAGCATGACAGCAGTCAAACTTTTGTATAAACTATGCTGCAAGCAAGAAGAAAGGAAAGACTAACAAATGGTCTCCACAGACACTTTACAGGAGCATCTTTCTTTCTGGCTCATGTAATAGTCTAGGAGAATGCTCTCTGTCAGGGTGTGTGAAGGCACKGCACATCCTGAAGCACACTGAACACTGGCAGTCTGTCTTTCTAGAAGCGAGGGACCTGATGTGTTCATCTCAGAAGTGAGTTAGCAAAGCAACATTCAATACATTGCCACTAAATTAACTTCTTCCTCTGCTACCTGTTTTTGCTTGACAAAGGGTTCAATACATACCTCACATATTCTGCTTTACAGGACCCTGACCTATGTCATGTATAATAAAGRAAGCCCTCACATTTCTAGCAGCTTTTGGTTTTTTGCACTGAAAAATACCAGTACAAAATTCAATAGCAAATGAAGACCTGAAATTTTTAGACCATTACGACTATATACAGAAATCAACATTGTAGTAGCTACTATACTGGTTGATTTTTTTCCTGCTTATTTACTTTACATTCGCAACAGAAAATAATTTGATTCAGGAAACTGAAATATATGACAAATGTTAAATGGATTAAAAGCTGATTCATTGACAAATTGAAAAATGTGGTGTCAATGGGCAGATATAAATTACTGGTATGTGTCTGGCAGAGTCTGCCTGGAATCAGTTCTTGGGTCAATAGCACTTAACATTTTTATCAACAGTCTAGACAGTGATATAAGACATTTTCAGTAAAGCTTGAGCACAATCGAGATCATTGAGGTAGTAAATAATATGTTAGATAATTGCAGAAGCTAATGAAACATATTTTAATATTGCCAAATACCAGCCTCTTGTGTGGGATAGGAAACTATAGGTAGTTGTTAAGATKTGATTTAGAGAAGGATAKGTTATCAAAGATAATTGGGTCTACTTAGACTCAATGTTGTGGAAGGAAAAAGCACTAATGCAATAATGTGCATATTGTAGTCAGACTGTCAAGCAAATGGGGTGGTGATTGCCTTGGCATGCTGTATTGATAAGACTGCCTCTAGAATGCCAAGTCAAATTTTGGTATCTGGTATTAGGGAAAATAATGAAATAGGATAAATGGAAGGCATTGGGGTGCACAGGAGATGGAGATCAGGTTTTAAATCCTGTGCRGGTTTAACAAGTTCAGCTTAGTTTACCATTATGTGTGGGTACTTGGGCATGAAAATTTTTTTGTAGGTATGGGACAAGAAACACTTTCAGCATCATTGATAAAGGCACAACAAAATTCAGTGACTGGAAAATTAAATTAAGGGGAAAATGCAGCCTCGTATTAACTTGCAATTTGTCAGATTTGTGGATTACTAAATAGTGGAACAGCTGATCCAGGGAGGTGATAGACTAACCAGTGTTAGATGTCTTAAAAAAAAAAAAAAAAAAAGAGAGGGAAAGACAGAATGCTCTTGCTACAGGATGCACTTAATCCAGGCATTGAAGGTACGGCATTTGGAAAGTGAGTAGTCAGATCAGATAGGAAGCAGGATGGCTCTGACTGTGGCTAGAATCTGTTAATTTTATCATTTCCTTTTCTTACAGTTCATGTGCTGCAAGGAGAACAGTCATACACGTTCAGTCCTAAGTCTAAAAGCCACCTGATTTAAACAGTTGACTCCTGGARGAGTCATGGAGAAATTTCTTGCCCTGCTGTATCCAGGACCAGACAGTTTGCTTGTTCTTTGTTGCCTTCTGAGCCAGAAGCCAGACAAGGCTTTTTTTTGGATCCCCAAAAGGTTGATCCTCTTTCCTAAATGGTGCCTGAGTATGACTTCTGGTCTCCATTGTAGTGGTCAGCAGGTTTTAAGGTGGGAAGGAGCTTTGCATAGCCTTGAGCAGTGAACAACAATAGTCCAGCTAAAGGCTTTGGGCTAAGAACTCTTTATTTCTGAAATATTTCTGAATATTTCACAGAACTGTGAAAGCACAAGGTTGTCACAAGCCCCTGTGGCCTGAGAACTTGAGAATCTTAAACATGATTGGGTCTCTGGTGCATCACTTGTAAATGGGGCAGGGATTTCTGGGGGATTTTTTCCTARCTATTAACAGATGGAAAAATTAGAAAGGCTTTCGGACAATAAGATTCTTTTAGATCTAAAGTAGCAACCCAGCCTTTAAACTAAAATACGGGTTGAAAGCAATTGCTCTAAACATAATTGGGTTTGTTAATATTTTAGACTGTGAGAGGAGGTAGTGGACTGAGGAAAGTATGAGATAAAAAGGCTGTTATCACCATGGGAAAGAGAGGAGCAGGTARTCTTTTGCTTCTTGGAACATGATGGTATCAACTGGGCTACAGGTTTTGGAAGAAGGAGGTTGTATATGCGATAAAACCATTATTTCTATTGTTTCCTTGTTTTTTTAGCATTTAGTAGAATCACAAACTTTAGTGTAGGAGGTACTTTCTGCTGAGTTTCTCTCTAACAGGCAAGAGGTAGAGAGTAAATGTAAAAWTTTTCCCTGATAGACTGATGCCTATTTATTTTTATCTTTAGTAATTTTTCAGTATGAATTTATTCTGTTAATAAATGGTTGTTTAATTTCATSCATATAGTTTACAAATCATTTGCATCAGATGAAGTACATTTTGCTCTGGAAAATGAACAGGCAGGACCTACAGATCTTGATGATACTCGTCAGAAGACATACATTCTGGTGATTGAGACTACTCATAAGTCTGCATTTGTGAGAATACTGGCAATTTTGCATTGGTTTCTTAGATGTCATCTGCTCCTTTTAGTGCGTATCACTCCACAGGGAATTTGCTTCTGAAGTCAGGTTTAGTGGTGCTGCAGCCATGAGTAACATGCACCTCAGGGARCCAGAATCTCTAACAGAAAACATATTTTGTCATTCCCTTGTGTAGCACATGARCAAAATACAGAATGGACAGTGGTTTGCTAATTCATATGCCACTAGATGTTAGCAGGAATTATTTGCTGTTTTGTGTCATGTACTTGMAGTTTATCAAAATTCTTCTTAATTAAATGCTTTAGCATATTTAGCTTCACTTTACTCGGGGCTATTAATTTATAAAGGATATGCTTTATTATGGTACTTAGAGTGTTTGATTTACTGTTTTTATGGATGTTTTAGATCTAATTTGTACTGGTGTGTTATTGCTATTAGCAATGTGGTACTGTGCTTGCATTGAAGATGAAAAAACACTTTTAGCTTGACACTGGAATTAAAAGATCATTGATGATCAATGGTATTAGAAATACTGAAAAAAAATATCAGAGGGTGTTTTTTAAAAGGGTTGGTTGTCTTTTTGTCTGTTTTGAGTGTCTCTGGGATGGTTTTAAGGTCATATTTGATTACGTTTATTGTGACTTCTAACTTTCAGGAATATCAGCCTTGCAACACCAACGCCTGCCCGGAGTTGAAGAAGACAACTCCCTGGACCCCTTGGACACCGGTGAACATTTCAGACAACGGCGGTCACTACGAGCAGCGGTTCCGATACACCTGCAAGGCGCGCCTGCCYGACCCCAACCTGCTGGAGGTGGGACGGCAGCGCATCGAGATGCGCTACTGCTCCAGCGACGGCACCAGCGGCTGCTCCACAGACGGTGAGCAAAGCCACAGGGGCTCACCATGCCCCCTGCCAGGGACGTGTCTGCAGCTCCATTTCCAGCACAGAGTGGAAGTTGCTGCTTGCTGGTGTTTGGTGTAACAGAACTGATAATGAATAGGAAGACTGATAAAGAATAGTGATCCCAGTAGGGAACCTACCCTGTATTTGCTCATCATTCAGGCTAAATGTCTTTCATCACCAGTTATGAGATTTTCCAGGTTATTTTAATTCTCTTTACAATAATCCTGTTCTTAGAAGATTGTTACTTCCTTATACTCCCTTGAGCTTTTACTCGGGCTGAATTAGTGCAACATGAACATATTTCTGGAATATTTTTCTAGAATATGGAATATTAATGCTAAAAGGAACTTCTGCGCAGTAAATTGAAAGTAACAGTTGTAAGATTCATACAGGTGTTTAAATAAATAAGGAGTTTATGAACTGGATAATTTCTATGATAAAATTTTATGTTGTGCTTTTGCTAGTAATTTAAAGTTCTGTTTGTTTCTGAGATCGAAAACCAAACTCCTTGAAAATCTTTTCAACTTGAGATGACTTTAAATTGGAATAATTTTTTTTTTTTTTCAGAATATTCTTCTTTTCCTAGCACTAATAGTTTGGTAGATGTATAAAAAATTCAAACCAGGAGAAATTCTGGCAGTCACTCWAATTTAATTAATGCATTACATTGATTATCCAGTTTTAATTGTATATCAGTGTATCTTTTAAAGTATATTTTAGTCATATGATCTAAAACTACTGATTTTTTTAATATTGTATTTTAATATTCATATGCCCATTTTCCACTTACATAGTCTTTTGTATCTTCACAAGAGCCAGGTTAGTTGAAAAAAAAAAAAAAAAAGGAACTGAAGGCATTGGGATTATGTAAGACCACAAAGAGAGAAACAGTTTCTGAGTCCTTGGACTTTCTCTATATTTTCCAGACAGACCAGCTATTGTGAAAGTCACTGTTAAGCTCCTGCCTGTGCTAGGTTTACATGTCAAGGTTTTGGTAGCAGGGGAGGCTGCAGGGCTGACTTCTGTGATAAGATGCTAGAATCTTCATCCTGCTCCCCTGCCCTTCATCCTGCACAAAACCTTCATTGTTTCACTTGGCATCTGTGCCTCTTTGGAGAGGGCAGGATGATAGCAATTTTTTTAAGAAATACATAGTAGAGAATGATGTGAAATAATAAAACAAAATCCATGGTACTCYAGATAAGACTTAGTTTTGTGCTCTGTGCCATTCCCATTTCACACAATCTACAGTGTCAAATATTGGGGAGTATTTTAGGTCTGGATCGCAAGGTAGATTTTGTCATGGAGAGACTCCTAGCACTAGTGATTGTTCTATTTTCATCCATACTAAATATCAAACTTATATTTAGCAAAGATTTTTCTCCACTAGGATTGGTGTGTTGACCTGTCTCTCTTATCCTTAATGGGACTTTCATGTGGTGCTGCTGCTTTTCACTGTCTTCCAACACTTTGAYGTGGATGGCACGTTTTTAAAATTTCATGAGATTAAATGAAAAAGAAAATATTTTCCCCACCAGGGAGTGCCAATTTGGGAAAGTTATCACAAGTAGAAGCAGAGCTATGGGAGAATCTCRGTATAATCTGGTCTGGCAGTTGAGATGGCAGCATGTGAGAAAGGAGTATAYGAAAGCCAACACATGACATGAGAGAGGAGGTCAGTAGGGCAAAATAGAGAAGAGCCAGCTTGTTCTAGATCACATTGCAGAAAGAAAATTAAACTTGGCATGGAGACATCTCTCTCAGCTCTGAAGTCATGATTGTAAGACCTCTCCTGGAGCTGGATGCGTAAGCTGACTCCTACAGAATATAGGCATAAGTTACAGACCTTACAAATTGTTAAATAAAGCATTTTTT